CTCCCCCAAGCACTCAGCCCACAGCCCCCCCAGTGCCTGAGTGCTGTCCTTTCACGGTTATGCTGGAAATGTCCACGGCAGGCTGGACACAGACTGAATAATCAATAGTTTCCCCTTCTTCCCGAACAGCGAAGTCTCCCAAGCACTTGGAGTGACCGCAGCTCCCCGTTCACTGCTGGGCTCCTTACCATGCATGCTGCTGCACCACCGGAAAGCCAGTGTCTGTTATTTTTACACAGTCTGCTTTTATTTAGTCTTACCCCATTCAGCTGTCTCGCTGCCCCTCAGATCTTCCTCCTGAGAGCCCTGTCATTCCCCAGAAGTGCCTCTCTTAGAGTTCCCTCAAGCAGAGTCTGAAGGCAGTCAATTTGCCTGGTTTTACGGAACGAGTGGTAAAGAACCCGCCTCCAATGCAGGAGACATAAGACCCGTGGGTTCGATCCCTGGTTGGGAAGATCCCCTGGAGGAGGGCATGACAGCCCACTCCAGTATTCTTGCCTGGAGAATCCCACGGACAGAGGAGCCTGGTGGGCTACAGTCTATAGAATTGCAGACTTGGACAAGACTGAAGCAACTTAGCATGCACGCAGTCACATTTTCCTGAAAACACTTTTTATTTCAATGTGGTTCTTCAAAATCTTGAATGAGCTGTGCCTACAATTTTCAAATGTGCCTTAGACTGTATTCTAGGCACCCTGGGTTTAGAAATTGCCTTTGTTCCTGGTTTGAAATTTAGTATCTTTTAAACTATATTTACCTTAGAAGAAAGTTATGATAGTAAACATATTATTTCTTAAAATACTGCCTTGCACAGTAGGGTTCTCTGACTATAAACTTTATTCAGAATATGTAGCTCTTCCCTTTAGTTATACTTTTATTTAGTTATTTTTATGATATTATAAGTGTCTGCAAATCCATGGTCAAAAACAAAAGTTAGGATCAAAAAAAGAAAAGGAAACCTTGTCTAACCTGCGGTGGATCACCCCCTCCCTCGCCTCCTTCCACCCAAATTAAATTTCCTCAATGCCGAACCCATCATTCTTTGCTTTCCAATTTCTATATTTTTCTTTAAATTGCATGCTTTGTTTTCATTATTCTTAACTTTACAGAGATGCATTTTCTTGCCTGTAACCTTCGGGGTTTAATTGTTCACTTAATGTTACATTGCTAAGATTAAGCCATATTGGGTTGCATTATTGTGCTTATTCACTTCAATGCTAGAAAATACTTGGCTGAGTGCCCGCACCAGTTTTTGCTCATCCATTTACACTGATTGGCAGTTGGCTTATTTCCAGGGCTGTGCTGTTGTCAGCGGTGCTGCTGAGAACATACTAATATGTGTCTCCAGGTGTCCACAGGCAAGAAGTCCCCCCTTGGGTATTCATCTAGGAATGAAGTGTCTGTGGAAGAGGACTTGAGGAGAGAATGTTAAACTGTGTCCCAAAGTCATTACACTAATTAACACCTCCCCACCCCCCGGCAATGGACAGGAAGTCCTGTGGGCCCCTACTCTCCACATCTGCACTGGTTTCCCGGCTGATAAGCACCATCTCAAGTGTTCATCAGCCAGGGAGCCTTTCTCATAGAGAAGGCAGGTGGGGTTTCTTTCCCAAAGGGACCAGACTCTCTCTCCCTCTCTCTGGAGGCAACACAGCTTGATGACATCTCATGCACCAAAACATACCACACACGATGCAAACAAAAGACTTTCAACTGGTCTGAGTGATGCACAAAATGGATATTTGCACAGAATTTTGTGCCAATCCCTGGGTCAGGGTCTAGCCTTCAAACAGAAACAGAACACCCGTGGAGCATCCTGGTCCAGTTCCGATTCTCCCCGCATGTCTTAAGCACTAAAGTTGTTTCCAGGGCCTAATAAGAGCCCATGGGAATGGTCTGCACGACCTGCAGCTGGTGTGACCGAGGTGCAGGTTCTGGCGCCATCACTCTGAGGGCATCCCAGCCTCAGTGGCCCCTTGTGAGTGTCCCAGCACCCCGACCCCAGTGAACATGCTCCATCCACCGAGAGAACCGGACGGGGAGATCAAGGTGCTTTCCAGGCCGTAACACCCACCCCCAGCACAGCACTTCTTCGCTGGAACCGAATGGCTTGCAGCGTGTGGTTAATTGGCAAGACTTACAGAGCACCTTGTAAACGCGGGTTTGGATCAACAGACGTGGGACCAGGCCAGGTGATGCTGCTGCTGCCCAGGGTCCTGACCCCCGCCCCGGGCACGGGCGGAGGGGAGCTCCTGGGAGGCAGGGCTCCCAGGAAAGGTGCTTTGCTTCAAGCACGCATGCAGCTCCGGATTCCGTGAGCACAGACCTCAGCGGCTCCAAGCCCTCCAGGGGGGCTCGGCTCTTCTGCTCTGGAGCAGAAATCTGATTTCTTTCCACACGGCTGGCAGCACAAAACAGACTCAAACGGCCATAAATATCGGATTAATTCTGCTCTCTTCATTTATCACAAAACTTTTGATTTAGACGTGTTTCTGGGTTTCATTCCCAGCTTATAAAAACCATCCATATTTTAGCACCTCAAGGTCAATGTGCAGGTAATTTAACTTCCTAACTAAATAACATATCGATTAATGCAAAGGAAACAATCTTTCTCTGAACAGGTTCTTATTTCATTGGTATGGATGACCCATCCTCTTAGACTGGCAGAGAATGGGGCTGCCAGGAGGAGTGGGGGGAAGAATATTAACAAGCGGGTCTTTCACCACTGAGCTTCCAGAGGAGGGAAGGGCACACAGCATCCCATCAGCAAGCCTTGGAAACTCCGGCTGCACCCAGGGGCTTTCTCGGACTGGAGGGGTAGGGTCTTCTTGTCATAAAACCAGAGCCCCGTTGTCACACAAGACAGAAAACTGTTCTAAGAAATGAGGTGCTGGCTCTGAGAAAACTCTGTTAAGTGACTTGTGGGGTGACATCAACTGAAACTCACTCCCTCATCGTTTCTGCGACCAGGCAAGCAGAGGAGAGCCAGGGATGGTGATTTGCATGTTGACATGTGGCTATTCCCTGTCCCTATGGGGACCTCTCCCCATCCCCCCATCTCCAAAGGGACTACTCCCCAACCCCATGTGGACCTCCCCCCATCCCCACGGGGACATGCCCCCACCCCCACAGGGACCTCTCCCCATGCCCAGCAGCGCTCCAGGCCAGGACAGACTGGCCGCTCTAGCAGGAGAGTCTGTGCCCTTGCTGTCACCGTGCCACAGCTCTGCTCAGCCAGGACGAGGTTGAGAAGGTGCAGGCTGGACTCTCGAGAAGATCTGCAGTCCCCTGTGCTGTCGTCCACCCTGACTGTGGGACCAGATTACACTTTTGGGCAAAGCCAGGATGCAAACCACTCTGGCGCGGCCCGGCCAGCCCCAGGGCTGTCGAAGGCTGTTGTGGGGCATAAGAGGACCCATCGCCATGGATCTCTCTGCCTCAGATAGCTCAGCAGGTAGAATCGCACTTCCACGAGATGCTGCACCAGAATCCAGTCCCTGCCTGTGTCTGCCTTGTCATCAGAGGAAGCAAGAATGCTGGTCTTCCTTTCTTCTGGCTGAGCCAGTGCAGGAGGAGCTCGCATCCTGAATCCTGAGCGGCGGCCTCTGCGGGCATGGGAGCCCCCAGGACCTCACGGACCAGAGCCCTCCCAGGATCACAGGCCCTCTCCCCACAGCGCGGGGCCCCCAGATCCCACCAGGACGTCCTGTGAGCTGGAGGCTTCTGGCCACTCTGTGCTCAGAGCCTGCAGCAGAGGAAGGAAGAGCCAGCCCCCCTCCCAGCCCCCCACAGCGTCTGCAGGCAGGTCTGAGTCCCCGGGGCAAAAGCCTGGGCGTGATGGCGGGGCCGCAACAGACCGCCGGGAGTCAGCACCTTCAAAGGCTGCTTCAGTTCAGCATTTCAGGGTCAGGAAGCTGGTCCTCGGCAGGGAGGCTCGCCGTGCGATGGTTCTTTAGGGGAGGTGAGTGTCTAAACAGAGGAGCCCTCAACTGTATGTGGAATGCAGGAGGTGATGTTTCCCCTGAAGACAAAGGAACAGCAGCTCGCGGCTCCCGCTGACGGGTCTGGTGCCTCCGAGGACCAGGGTCAAGGTGTCCGTCTGGATGCCCTGTGCTGGAGGCGGGGAAACAGGGTCCATCTCTGCCCGAACTTCTGATCACCGGGGAAACCTTAATAATGCCAAACCGCAGATGCTGCACCCCAAACCATGTACGTCGGAGACTCTGGGTTGGGTCCCAGGTGTCACTGTTTCATAAAATCCCCGGGTGACAAGAAACGTAAGTCAGGAGATGAGTCCGCGTGTTCAGCGGTCAGCCAGCAAGGAGGACAGGCCACCCGAGTCGTGGCAAGAAGAAGGGGCCTCAAGAAGCGGGTATTCTGGAAAGGCTGTAAGGAAATCAGAATGGAGGTTCCTCAGAAAATTAAAAATAGAGCTACCACATCCTCCAGTAATCCCACTTGTGGGTTATGCGTCCAGAGGAAGCATAATCAGCGTCTGGAAGAGACGCCCGCCTGCCCAGGGTCCCCGCAGCCCTGCTCACAGGCCAGGTCAGGGGCAGCCTGAGTGCCCACCAGTGGGTGACGGACAAGGACGTCATGGTACTCAGACTCGTGGAACAGTCCTCAGCCCCGGGAAAGAAGGACGTCTGCCATCTCAACAGCACCATGGACCTAGGGGATGCTACGCTAGGTGACATCGGCCAGACGGGAAGAGACGAACACAGTGTGATCCACGCAGAGTCCAAAAAATAAGTTGACCTCATGCAAGCAGAAAAGAAGGGTGGTCACCTGAAGTGGGGGCAGGGGGAGGGATACAAAACCAGCAGGTGTCTGGGACTGAGAGGGAGGCGGAAGCGAAGCCAGACCTGTCGCAGCTTGCGAGGGAGTCGAGACAAGTTCCTTTGATGATGAGCCCCAGAGCCTGGGCAGCCCTCAGCTCAGCCTCCTGGCGGTCCTTGGAGGGCGGGTGACTTCCAGTCAGGGCGAGGTGGTGGGCCAAGATGGCAGAGCAAGCAGAACCTCGGCATCTGGTGTCCCTGAGCCTGGAGTCCGAGGTTCAGGGACTGGTGAGCTGCTTCGGCCGGATGGGGCGGGACCTGAGTACCCCGGGAGTCCGCACTCTGCCCAGCAGTCCAGACAGGAGCGGCTGTCAGAGTCCACCTCGGACACCCCCATCTGGACATGACACGCTCACGGAAGGCAAGACAAGCCTAGTGGGGGAGACTCTGGGTCTGTACGCCCTGCACCTTGGCTCCCCGGAGGGCATCTCTCCTCCCAGGCCCGGACAGCGGGGGCAGGGCAGAGAGGCCTCAGTGGACACCCTTCCAGGGCCCTCGCTGCCCACATGGACCTGCGCTTCTGCCAGGAGAAGATGGCCAGCGCTGGCTTGCCTTCGATTCTTTAAACAGGAAATGCCGGGTTGTTCCTCGCAGGGGCTCTGCAGTGAGCCTGGTTCTGCTGATGGCTCTGTGTGCCCGGAGCAGGTCGGGGCGGGGAGGCTGGGGGCTCACCCCGGACATTTCCCGGGTCTGGTCTCGACCTCTGCTCCTCGTCCCCAGAATACAACGATGCCTTGTCGGTCTTTAATTCTGCAGAGATGCCCCTCCTTTTCCCATAAGCTGGCAGGGTGATCTCCGCGCCCTGCTCTGCGATGAGAAGGTGAGAACTGCAGGGTCCACCTGTCTGTTTGTCCGAGTAACAAGCAGGACGGTGTCCTCACCCACGGAGGGCCCAGTACCAAGCGCTGCTGCTGCTCCTCACACAAGAGGCGGGGTTAACTCTCACCTGCTAACATCTCTGTCTGCCCTCCTCTCTCCATCTGTTGAAATGGAAGAAAGCCCCTCATTCCACTCAAGCTCTTCCCTCCATCCAAGTCTGAATCCCACCCCCAAGACCCCCTGCAGAGCCTGCCCCAACACTTACACCTTCTCCTCCTGTGTCACTGGACCTTCTCTTTTCATCTCCTCCTCCTGGCTGTTGGGTCGCTAAGTCATGTCCAGCTCCCTGTGACCCCGGGGACTGCAGCGCTCCAGGCTCCTCTGTCCTTCACCGTCTCCTGGGGCTTGCGCAAACTCAGGTCCATTGAGTCGGTGATAGTTAGGTACTATCTCATCCTCTGCTGCCCCTTCTCTTCCTGCCTTCAGTCTTTCCTGGCATCTGGGTCTTTTGCAATGAGTTGGCTCTTCGCATCAAGTGGCCAAAGTATTGGAGCTTTAGCATCAGTCCTTCCAATGAATACTGAGGGTTGATTTCCTTTAGGATGAACTGGTTGGATCTCCTTGCAGTCCAACAGACTCTCAAGAGTCATTTCCAACAGCATGGTTCGAAAGCATCGATTCTTTGTTGCTTAGCCTTCTTTATGGTCCAAATCTCACGTTTGTACATGACTACTGGAAACACTATAGCTTTGACTATGTCAGCCTCAGTTTATAAATGAATATTTTTCACAACTTTGAAATGAAAAACACATTAAGTAAATAAAAAGCTAGGGAAAAAAAATCTCTCTCTACCATCCACTTCCTGATGCCACCTGAGGGGTCTTCTCATGGCCGTCAGGGTGAAATCCTGCCTCCGCAGCCAGGCGCGGACCTGCCCAGATGGGCATCTTACCCAGCTCTAATGCCAGAGAGCTGCCCCTCTGGCCCCCGCTGTCCACGAAGGGAAGTCACCTGTGTTCAGAGCTCTCTGCTCTCAGGGGGACAACCATGCAGTCATTCACATCATGGGGTCACCCCGTGATTCAGAAAGAAGAACCTGGAACACAGCAGGCAATCGGCTAGCTTGTCAGGTACCATACATCAAGGACACCAGTACCAAAATAATTGATCAAATGGTCCCTGACGCTGCTTGATTGGAAACCCCAGGGAACTGTACAGAAATCTGAGCATCAGTCTTTTCAAGCTCAATAATCATACTCTGATTTTAGCACTTCATAATTTAATCACAGAATGATTTTTTTTTGGTAAGCTGTCAAGTGGAGGTAAATGATTAAGGCCATTGTCACCATCATGCTGAGTTTCTGGCTTTTGCCTAGACCTGAAATAAAGTCTTTTAAACATTCTTCCTCAAAAATCCAGAATCAGTGTTACTTAACCAGATCATTAGCAAGATTCCATTAGAGGTTAATGACAGTAGCTTAGCAAACTAACCAGCTCACAGATAATAATAGTAAATTTTGGACGAAAACTACTTTCAAAGAATGTAGCTTTGGGCAGGCACTGAGGGAGACCCAAAGCAAAGGAACCTGGAGGGAAGCGGCGCTGCACGTTGAGCCGCAGTGGGTGAGTTTTGCCAGTGTCGGCTGCAAACTGGCGCTTGCCGAGGGCGTTTGCCATCTGCCTCTATGGGGACCGAACGCTGTGCTCCTGCGGCTGTTGGCCTCCAGCGCGTCCTGAAGGGAGTTCAGGAAGAGGACGAGGTGCTTTGTGCTCCAGGAAAACCAATGGAATAGGCCTTTTGACAGACATTTTCAGGAACTGATCTCACAAACCTAATCCTTGTATCTCCTATCTAGAAAAGCGTTAAATCCCTTCATGCTGACATCAACTCCTCCTGACTAGCAGAAAACCTCTTGTAAGATAGGTGCTTCATTGCACTGAACTCCCCCTTCACCAAAACCTTACATACTGACCTTCCCCCACTGCATCTTTAGAGTGGTTTCTCAGCTATCTGAGCTGCAGTCTCCTGGGCTGCAGCCTTCATTTTGCCCCAAATAAAACTTAAATCACAGCTTTCACGTTCTGCGTTTTTTTAGTAGACCCCAATGTATAGGTTTTTGACTGGGGAGGGCAACGGCCGTTTGTGCCAGTGATACTTGACCACAAATGGACAGTCATCAAATTAGTGAGGACACCAGGCAGAGAGGGCCCTTGCAGACTGTGCAAGAGATCTGGCAACTCCCTGGCTGGTTGTTGCTGTTTAGTTGCTCAGTTGTGTCCAACTCTTTGCAACTCCGTGGATTGTAGGATGCCAGGCTCCTTTGTCCTTCATTGTCTCCTGGAGTTTGCTCAAACTCATGTCCATTGAGTCAGTGATGCCATCCAACCATCTCATCCTCTGTCGTCCCCTTCTCCTCCTGCCCTCAGTCTTTCCCAGCATCAGGGTCTTTTCCAATGAGTCAGCTCTTCACATTAACATGGCCAAAGTGTTACAACTTCAGCTTCAGCATCAATCCTTCCAATGAATATTCAGGGTTGATTTCATTTAGGATGGACTGGTTGGATCTCCTTGCAGTTCATGGGACTCTCAAGAGTCTTCTCCAACACCACAGTTCAAAAGCATCAATTTTTTGGTGCTCAGCTTTCTTTATAGTCCAACCCTCACATCCATACATGACTACTGGGAAAACCATAGCTTTGACTATATGGACCTTTGTTGGCAAAGTGATGTCTCTGCTTTTTAATATGTTGTCTAGGTTTGTCATAGCTTTCCTTCCAAGGAGCAAGCACCTTTTAATTTCATGGCTGAAGTCGTCTTCCGTGTGGAGGGGCAGGGTCCACGGAAGGGCAGGTAGAGATGAAGGATTGAAAATTGAAATAACTGAGTTGAGATTTTAGCTGTTTCTTCCAACAGAGGAAACAGATGATTCCAAGTAGTTAATTGCCTTCTAAGACAGAAGTCAGTCTTTAGAGTAAAGTAGGAATAGCCAGGGTCTCCAGGACGTATCACTCGTAATGCCCATTGTCCAATAATAATAATAAGTATAAAGAGTGAAATGTAACCTGAACTAAGAGTGAAAAGAAGCTCAATCGTCATTGACATGGAGGCGTCCCCAGTGTTGCAATTGGCAATGATTCTGAGGAGCTCTTCCTAATGTGCTGGAAAAAAAATCAACACACACTGTCAGAACAGAGATTCTCAGCTATACAGAGACAGTTAAAAAAAGAACTAAGAGGAAAATTGACAGCTCAAGAAGTACAAATACTAAGTGAAAAACTCACTAGGAAGTGATAACACAAGATTTGAGGAAAAGAAAAAAAAGCAGATAGAGCTTTTGCTCTATCTTGAAGATAGAAAGACCAATCAATTGGTCCAACAGAAAGGACCAATCTGAAGAATAAAATGAAGGAAAGTCGTGCATAGAAATATCAAGCACATTAACACATATTGTTACTATCATGCAAAATAGAACAAAACATGCACCTAAAGGTCAAATAACTTTTCATGATGAAAAGAACAATATATTTGCTAAGACCTCACAATTATAAATGTGTGTGCCCAACTCTAGAGCTTCAGAACATATGAAGCAAAAAGTGAGAGAGCCAAAGAGAGAAACAGGCACATGGTAACGTGTCATCAGCTGAAAACGAATGTGAAAGCAGCTTCAGGGGCTAAAGTACAGAGCGCATCGTCTACCACAGTGACCGATGCAGGTGCCCCGTCGAGATCCATCTAGTTATTCTCATACTGCTCACCAGAAACACACAGTTAATTTTTTTTTCAGTACATTACATTTACTCATAAAAACATTCTAGAAATGTACGACTTTTCCTTTTTAATAAAATTCAACAAAGCTTAAAACCCCCAACAGAATACCTGACATTTATAGTCAAAATCAAATTAGCAGAATATTATTTACAAAACTGTATCTTTAAAAAATATTTATAAAAGTTGCATGCACTTTCGTAGCATCAAAATGAAAGGATGGCTGTAAAGGGGAGGATTTTCCTTCTTTCCTGAAAAGAAAACATGTTCAGTGGAAGCCGTGCTGACGGAATACAGGAGGTCTCCAGTTTCGCTACCAAAGCCTGTCTTTGTGCATCTAAGAACCTGACTCATGTGACGGGTTTCTTACAGCACATATTTTCAACTGAATGAGAAATCTATCGTGAGCTTCTAAATGTGCTGCCTCTGAGGCCCCCTGGTCCCCGGGCTTGGGTCCAGACGTGGTTCCGGTAGAGTTCATCCACAGGGAACTGGGCCAGGACAGTCCAGGCTCCCACGGTCACTCCCCGGGCCGTGGAAGATTCCCACCCGCAAACCGTGCATCCTCCCAACGCCTAGGTCTCTACACTCCACGTTTAATATTCCAGGCTTATTGTCTTTCCTTGCAGCTTAGTTCTGAGCCTTATAACCTGAATGGCATTATCTGATTATTCAGTATAATAACATGTTCTACATTGTGATATGAGGTGATACAGAAGAATGGGAATTTCTGATTAGAATGGGAAAATCGTCTAATTTCTAGTGTTTTGTTCTCATTTTTAAAATTTAACAAACGGAGCAGTGATTTTGTTAATACTGAAACCCTCGGAGTATAAATTATTGACTTGACTCATTTATTTATTCATTCATTCCTTCGGATGATGTCACTGGCCTTGCGATGTTGGGCAGAATGCTGAAAATTTAGCTTTGGGGAGCGGATTCCTCACATGCAAGGTCCACTAGAGGCAGCTTCTCGAAGACCAGGTCTCTGGGGCCCTCAGAGGAGCCCCCCACTTCCCACGGCCCCACCCCACCCACACTTTACTCTGCTGGCCGATGGGCTCACCGTAGCCTCGGCAAGATTGAAGCTCCCGTCTCTAAGTGGCCCACAGTCTCTGTCCAGTCCCACTCTCTGGATCTGCTCCCTTTGGGCTCAGACCCCCAGCCGCCCCGCCCCCCGTGCCCTGCCCGCCCCCAGCCTTCCCTGGAAACCAGAGGCTGTGGGTACCGGAGCGGACCGAGCAGTGTGCCCCCAAAGACATATCTTCATCCAACCCCACTTGTGAATGTGGCTTTATTTGGAACTGGGGTTTTTGCAGGTGTAATTCAATTAAGGCCCTGGATTCAGAGTGGACCCCAAATCCAAGCTGGTTTCTGGGATGGGGAGGTGTGGAAGGGAGCAGCGTTCCGGGCAGAAGCCTCGTCTGGTCATCACGGACACGTGCAGAGCGGGAACGCAGAGGCCCTCTCCTGCCGGTGGGGTCTCCCGAGGGCTGGTGGTGGCAGGGGCAGCAGGTGATGTTGGTCCTGGAGTTGCTGCCTGCAGAGTGGCACGGACAGGACCTGCTGCCCAGGCTGGCCAAGCTGGTGCAGAGCATCAGATTAATTTCTGATGAGCTGGAACAGTCTTTAAATTTAAGTGACAGCCTTGATTAATTCACATTTAGAAGGAATAAAATGTATTTTCTAGTACTAACAAATTGGAACAAGAAACACCTTCTGGAGTTTTGTGACGCATACACAGCTCCCTGTCCAACTTCTGCAAATGAGTTTCTAACTCAGTTGTGCTTAATAGGAAAGACACTCCCTGACCCTGGTGAAAAATTTGGTGAATGCCCCCGATTTACAAAGCCATTAAATCCAGGAATAGAGTGGACACAATTATAAAGCTGTTGACTTGGATCATTTGAACAAACATCAATCTTTGAAACCCTCAGCTGGACCATTGCAGGATCACGTCACAGAGATGGGCAGATCCAGGGTGGGGGCTGGGAAGATGCTTTTATTTGTTTGTTTTTTGCCTTTTTATTGACCAATGAAAATACTAAATTCAGGACAGCTCAGGCTTACTGTTTAAGCACAAAGTGCCCTCCTCCCCAAGAGCCATCAGTTTCGTCAAAAAGAAAGATAATACAGAGACTTCTCCGGTGGTCCAGTGGTTAAGAACCCTCCTGCCATTGCAGGGGATGCAGGTTCGACCCCTGATCCCACGTGCAGTGGGGTAACTAAGTCTGCACACCACAACTGCTGAGCTTACACGCAGCAATGAAGATCCTGTGTGCACAGCGAGGACCCAGCACAGCCACAACTAAACAAATAAAATGAAGATAGTCATCATCTAGAAAGGAAAGATAATGTGGGATCAAAGGAAGGGGTTACATGCACCGCCTGTGGCCACTTCCACGGGTCTGCTGACGGCTGAGGGGGAATCTATGATGGTGGCTCCGCAGGTTACCTCCCCCGACCCTCCTGGGGGTCTCACAGTCACGCGTGGACACACGGCCCGGTTAACTCATCAACCAAGACGAGCAGGTGGGCCCCTGTGAGCTGGACTCTCTCCAGCGCCCCTGCTGGCAGACGCATGTGTGTGTGTGTGAGATGTTTCCCATATTGTTGGTCTCTCCATGCATCAGAAAAAGCCAGTGCTTATTACGTGCACAGCAATGTATATATACTGGGTTGCAAAGTTTGTTCAAGTTTTTCCATTAATATTATGGAAAAACCCAAATGAACTTTTTGGCCAACCCAAGAGCTATACATGCTGCCTTGGCAAGCCTCAGAGGTATTGTGGGTTTGCTTCCGGTAAAGTCAATGTCACAATAAATCAAAGCATACACATACATTTCCCAGTGTGTATAAAAGTGATTTTTTGCCCCATATTGCAGCCTATTAAGTGTGCAATAGCATTCTGTCTAAAAATGTTCATACCTCAGTTAAGTCTACTTTATTGCTAAAAAACACTAACCATCATCCAAGCTTTCCACATCTGAGTGGCAGTAGTACCTCAAAGATCACTGACCACAGATCTCCATAACACATGTGATAATAGTGAAAATCTGGAAGTAACACGAGAATTACCAAGACGTGACACAGACAGGAAGTGAGCAACAGTTGGGAAAATAGTGTTGACACTCTCTCTGAACACGGGGCTGTCTCAATCTTTCCTTTTGTTAAAAATAACACAAAACACAGTTATCTTAAGTGCAATAAAGCAAGGTATGCCTGCATCGACGTGTGTCTACATGCAGCGCACGTACCTACACTCCACATGTCCATAGTGGTGCATGAATGCATACAAAACACACAATTATATGATTCACTGTTGTTCAGTCACTAAGTCATGTCTGACTCTTTGCGACCCCATGGACTGCGGCACACCAGGCTTCCTGGTCCTTCACTATCTCCCGGAGTTTGCTCAAATTCATGTCAATTGAGTTGGTACAGTAGTTCATCTAAACACACATCGAGGGAAAGGATACTTTGCTGAAACATGTTTGAACCTTGCACGTTTCTTCTAACTTGCACTGGATCTGTCCCACAGGGGCAATCCCCTGCCTCCCACCCGGGCCTCCCCACCCGCCTGCATGCAGTCCTCCCCGCTCAAGGCATGCTGGGCAACAGGAGCCTGGAGAAGGGAAGCATTCAGTGTCTACGGCCCTGTTGCCGTTTCCCGTGCACTTGAAAGTCCTGAAATTTAGCCTCTTCTCTGTAGATCTCAAGAGAATCGCCCTTTTATCCAGTCTCAGATCTTTCTGGCCCAAGCTTGCTGGTCCACAGGCCGGCTCTGACAGGCACCAGGACACACCCTCCGCCTTTTACAGCTGAACCTGACCTGGCAACAACGGCGGAAGCTCCCGGTTCTCTGCTGTGTCTAGAGACAGAGATCCCCCATCTGGGTAAAACTCCGAAAGAAAGATCTGCTATCTGCTTCCCTGATAGCTCAGTTGGTAAAGAATCTGCCTGCAGTGCAGGAGACCCTGGTTCCATTCCTGGGTCAGGAAGATCCGCTGGAGAAGGGATAGGTCACCCACTCTGGTATTCTTGGGCTTCCTTTGTGGCTCAGCTGGAAAAGAATCCTCCTTCAATGCGGGAGACTTGGGTTCGATCCCTGGGTTGGGAAGCTCCCTTGTAGAAGGGAAAGGCTACCCACTCCAGTATTCTGGCCTGGAGCATTCCATGGGCTGTAGGGACCATGGAGTCGCAAAGAGTCGGACACGACTGAGTGACCACTTTCGCTTGAGTGGACAGCCTTAGTCAAGGGCTGCGTCTAAACACCTGCTCTCCAAGCATCCCTGCCACTTCTGGTGTGGGTTACTCCCAGTGTATTGAGATTTTTTTATTCTCCTTAAAGAGTTTTTGAATTTTTTTTTCCTGCTAATTTCCCCCGTTCATCGAAAGGAAGTGACTCTGGAAGCTTCGCACAAGTGGCAAAGCCTTTAAAGCTGACTGTTGCTTAAAGTCAACAGGGCTGAGTGAGCAAGCAGACCTCCCGGGTACCATACTGGCCGAGCAGGATAACGAGCTGGCCTCGCTCCGTATGGCTCAGAAAGGTGGAGCTGCTTTGCCAGCCTGTTTATAAACCAGTGAAACGGCATAAAGCTGTCACCCAGAAACAGGTGGTCGGCTGGAATTTGTTGTTTGAATGTGTCCGGAATTAATTGGCTTTTGTATCTGTTGGCACCAGGTCCTGACTAGATGCCGAAAGACACAACATTGAAAAATTACTCCCTACCATGCCTTCTGAATACAGAAGGCAAATATTTGCATGTTCACTGGCTAATGCAGCTCATAATCTTCTGTTAAGCCCCACATCCCAATCCTATCGGAAAGTTCAGAAAACACTCTCTCAGTTACACGGTGAGTGGATTGCTCTGCTCTCATTGTTTCACGGATGGAACTTTTGTGACAGTCAGCAGCTGGTTTACAAATGCTTTTAATTAAACCTGAGAGAGGCCGGGAAGCAGGCCTTTGGAGGCACAGCTTGCCATTTTAAAGGGCGTTCCCCCAATGTCTCAGGGGCCAGCAGTGTTATTGGTGAGGTTTGTCCTGGAAGGAGAGCAGCGAGGGAAGGCGGGAGGGGGAGAGAAAATACAAGGGAGACTGTGGGGTTCTGGGCCCAGAAGGCCAACTCCGGAGGGCCAGCAGGTCTGCTCCAGGCTCTGTGTCCTGCCCCATCTCACTGGGGCCCAGCGTCCCCCCGGAGACCACACACGTACCGTCACATGCTTTGGCATCGTGGCAGCCTGTGTATTTATCCAAATCCCCGACCTCATACAAATGACTCTCTGACATACGCGTCAGCCAGAGGGAGGTTGTTGACCAGCTTCTCTGCTGGTAAGCAGCTTGCTCTGGGTGTGGCTGGTCCAGAGCCCCACCCACGAGGGGGCATCTCCAGATGGAGGGGACCTGCAGAAACATCAGCAGGTGCGGGCCCCAAAGTGCATGATCTGGATCAGGACACTGAGTTCACTGCTCTTTGCGTGGCCAGAGCTGTGGACGAGGTGATCCCAGTGCCGGCCCCGAAATCAATCCATCCTTCTCCCAGATGGAACCGCGCCTGGGTGAGACCTTCGTCCGCCAGCTTCCTAATCCTTATTGGTTCAGCCTTTGGTCAGTTGTGCATTCTCCACGTGAATGCAGGGGTTAGTGGGTAGTTTAAACACCCCTTGTTTGTCTTCAGATGCAGCTCGTGGGCCCAGAGAACTGTGCTCCCAGGTAGGCTGGATCTCAGCTCTGGGAGTGGGGGATGAGGACCCTGCAGGATGCCAGGCGCAGGTGGCAGAGGGGTGGCAGAGCAGCACAAGCAGGGCTGAGCGCTGAGCTTTCCGAGGGCCGTCGGGACTCGTCCTGCCCTTGCCGGTTACTCAGCAGGCCCCCAGGGTATGGGCAGTCCTCCCCTGCCCTGCTAGAGCACGCTCGTTAGCACACCACCAGGGACACATGCAGACCTCGGCCTTGGACGAGGTGGGCTGAGTATCCCTCTCTTCCTACAGTTGGCAGCATCCTGTGCCCCTTCGGCTCCCGGACGATCTGGGAAATGGCCAGGGGTCAGCAGAGACAGCACATCAGTGTCCTTCCTCCACGGTGGCCTTTGGGGGTGGACGTGAGTGGACAGGCGTGGCCGTGCAGAGGGACTCAGAGACGGGGCAGCAAGGAGGTCTCCAGGCCACACCGGCCTGGCCGTCTCAGGTTCTTTCACGCCGTGGGCACATTGGCTGCTTTTTTTCTGATTTCAAAAACAGTTTAAGCATCTTATGTAAACATCAGTCTTAAAGAAATATACAGAAGACTAAGAAGATGAGGAACCCTCCCCCAAGGGTCAGTATTCTGATGCACATGCTGTCTCGTTCTGTCTACAGGCACACATACACGTGTACACACACACACACTTCCCATCTCTGTCTAGTACCCTCATGTTTGCTGTGCACGTCATCATAAAAGACCACACACGACGGGCTTGTATCCTTCTGGGGAGAGTTTCCCGCTCCCCATGAGCAGGGTGAAGGCCCGGGAGAGCCAGCCAGGGGGCTTTGCTGGCCCAGAAGTGGATGCATCTGGCTATAAATGTTGCTGGAGGAGGTTCAGGGAGCAGGCCCGCACCTCCCCGTGCCAGAGCAGAAGTGCAAACCCAGGCAGTGTCTGACGGGCCCACCCTGGCTCGGGAGCCCTGAGAGCCCCTGACACCCAGAGCCCAGGGTCTCTGCAGGAAGGGGCTGGAAGAACCCAGGGGCTGGACAGGAAAAGGAGCCAGGGCCCCAGGGAGGCCGGGCTGCTCACGTGTCAGAGAAGCACATGCTCTCTGCCCCCAGGAGCCTGTTTGGGAGACCAGTACCAGCTTGCCAAACCCTGACGCGTGGCAAGTACCCAGGATGGTCCTGGCTCCAGGCGCCTGGGCTGAAGCCACTGGGGTCACTTAGCCAGCACTGGGGCCTCGGGATGGGGATGTGAGGGGCCTGGGTCCCCTAAGAGAATGGAGAATGGAGAGAATGGAGAACAGAGGCACATCCCTGGGGGACAGGGCCCAGGAGGGAGAGTGTGCATTGCCCCGGAGGTGGGTCTGGTGGGGTCTCAACCGAGAGGCGCTGAGGGCCCCAAGGAACATGAGAAATGCATGTGGAAATGGGTGTTTCTCTGTAGCTGCATCGTCGTGAGGCCAGGTGCGTGATTTCAAAGCTCACTGGTGAGTTAGGGCGAAGGGTGGTGCCCACACCTGGGCTCAAGGCCCTCAGCGGCTGGGTCTCTACCTGAGAAGACTGGAGGCAGCGTCTGTGGTGCTTTGCCCCACCTGTGCTGGGTTATGCCCTCAGCCCTGATGGAGATCCGTGCACCTCGCGGGTCACCTTAAGGGAGCCCCGAGGAGCCCTTCGTTTCCATAGCAACTGGAGGACTTCAGAGTAGAAGGCAAGAAAGCTGCAAAGATGTACATAAGGCGCAAAAGAGCAGCGGTCACCCCCGCTCACAGCAGTCACCCCCGCTCACAGCGGTCACTCCTGCTCATAGCGGTCACCCCCGCTCAGCCCGGATGTGCCCAGCTGGGTGTTGGGCGCCTGGCTGCACAGTGGCCCCGGCTCAGGCCCCGGGAGGCGCCCGGGTGTCAGGAACCTGCCGTGACCCACCCTCGGGTTTCCTACCTGCGTCTCAGAAGACCCAGAGGGAGGCACCGAGGACCTCTCTGCTGCACAGCTGCTCGGAAGGGAAGGTTCAGTGGTGCCCCTGCCCTGACCCTGAGTCCATGGAGCGGGAGAGAAGGGCAGGAAGTGATGGGGCTCACTTCCAGGTGAAATGGGGGAGGCGGGGAAGACCAGAGAGAAGCAGCTCAGAGGAGGGGCTGGCATTCTGGGGCACCTGGGCCCTGGGGCCGACCCTACCAAGCACCCTCGGGTGTGACACTCTCAGCTCTCACCGCTGATGTCCTTTGCAAGGGTGCTCACGCCTGACTCCAACCACCTGGGCCTCCTCAGCCGCCCTGAGTTGGGAGCTAGCGTTCATTCTCTCCATGAAGATGGAGCCAGCCAAGAGTCACCAAGCCTGAGTTGAAGATGGAGCCAGCCAAGAGTCACCAAGTGCTTTCTTGACCCTAAAGGGCACAAAGGAAGCGCTGAGCTATGCCAAAAGAGCAGACCCTGGGGCGACAGAAGACAGGGCGTCAGTGAACCCTGGGGCAAATGCTTTCTTCAACGGGGGTTAGGCGGAGGGGAGTCCTGGATCCTTCCAAGCCTTCCAGGTTTGGGTGGTTGGTACTCTTGTCCTGGACTCACAAGTCGGTCTGCCTTGTCCTTGGCGGAGGGAGGGAGGTGTTCCACCTTCATGAGGGTTTGAAGGGGACCCTGACAATTCCAGGAAGAGCTAGACCTTACTAGAGAGGCAGGTACTGGTCTCAGCTCGCATGGTTCAGCCAGGAACCTCCTGAAGGCTGACCCTGAGCTCCAGATACAAAGGATCTGACACTGCCGTGTCCTCCTGGCCGCACTGAACCAGGCTGCGGGCCTCTTAGCACCTGAAGCATCCTGATTGCTCAGACATCCCCACCCCATGGGGGTGAAACAGGTTTGTTACAAACATAAAAAAAGCTGGCACCTACACAGGGCTTTCCTGGTGGCTCAGATGGTAAATGATCCACCTGCAATGCAGGAGACCCAGATTCGATCCCTGGGTTGGGAAGATCCCCTGGAGAAGGGAATGGCTACCCACTCCAGTATCCTTGCCTGAAGAATCCCAGGGACAGAGGAGCCTGGTGCACCCCAGCCCATGGGGTCATAGAGTCGGACATGACTGAGAGACTAACACACGCGAAGACAAAATACGCTCAGAAAGAGCAGCCTTGTTAGTGGTCCCCGCGGCGCCCCATCACTCACCACCTCGCCCAGCCCCCCTGCCTGGCCATTTGCCAGGGGAAGGAGGGGGAGGACTCACCGCAAATCACTTTGCTGCCAGATTGTTTATGGGGTGCTCTGCTGCTCCTCGTCGAATCCCAGGCCTCTGGACACAAAGAAGTGTTGTTCAGGAACGACCGAAATAGTAAATTGATTTTTAAAATCTGGCTTGATTCCATACCACTGGGCATTATATTTTCTCCATGTGTCCTGCAAATGACGAGATATGGTCACCCTCTCCCCCAGAGGACTGCTCACACGGCCCATTGTCGCTGGGATGAAGGCAGGAACGGCGCTCTAAGCCCCTCTCCTGACACCCCGTGCCCCAGTCTGCGGGCCCACAGCACCAGAACAGCTGGGAGACCCTCTCCAAGATGAGAGCATTCGTCTAGGAAGGCTAGGAGCCTTCATTTCACGAGAGGGACAAAATGGGACAGGAGATTGCTGTTTCCACAGTCAACCTGGTCACCTTGGTGTGGGGTAGACAGCTTGGCATGGTGTAGACAGCTTGGCGTGGTGTAGACAGCTTGGCGTGGTGTAGACTAGCACGGAGGGGATGAAGCAGGCTCAGATTTCTAGGCGCTCTGAAGGGAAACGGAAGCCTGCAGTGGCTCTGTGCTCAGCGTGATCGCAAAGTGCCTGGACAGCGGGCGTCTTGGTGGGAGGCTGGCGGGAGGAGGCTCCCGAGTGCTCCCTGAGTCTGTCTAGTCTGCAGGAACGGGCAACAGCACCGAGCTGCCTGGAGGAAAGCTGGGAAACACCCTGACACCCCGCAGGCTCCAGCCGTTCTCTTCTCTCTGGCTTCCCTGAGGTTCCTCAAGACGTATTTATCAAACACCGGGCCCAGACGCCTGACGTGCAATTAAAAGCTTCACAAGTAATGGGAATAGAATGAGACGAGTATCGAATTCCTGTCCAGGAGTGGCAGGTAACTGGCCTTCCCCTAGTGAGGCTGCAGTGTGGACAGACCCCCTGGGATGGACAGCGTCTCCCTCCGTAAATCGTCCGCAGGGCAGAGAGGGTGTGTGTGGTGGGGGTGGGTAGAGCCAGCACCTTGGGTCTGCACCCAAACACAGCATAATCAGATCACTCAGGATTAGCCATCTAGGGGAGATTCTAAAAGACACATCGCCTCAAAAGATTGCAGTAACGAGAGCTGTCCTGTTGGAAGCAGTGTGGGCTGGAAGACAGAGGGTGTCAGCGCTCAAGGTCTGGGAAGGGATGGGCTGAGGAAGCCTGTCAGCCCAGGACTCTGTGCCCAGATGCCACGGGTTCCCATGGAGATGCTGCAAACACACTGGGTTTACTGGTTTTCCTGTCAGTCTATGTCTCTCTGGGCTTCCCAGGTGACACGGTGGTGAAGGACCCACCTGCCAATGCAGGAGTCACGAGTTCAATCCCTGGGTGGGGAAGATTCCCGGAGGAGGGCATGGCAGCCCACTTCAGGATTCTTGCCTGGGAGATCCCATGAGCAGAGGAGCCGGGTAGGCTACAGTCCACGGGGTCGCAAAGAGTCAGGCACGACTGAGCGACTGAATACACACACTACATCTATCAACCTATCTATCTGTCAATGCCTATCACATGTTGGGTTTACTCATTTATGTATAACCTATATCCACTATACCTATCTAATAGGGATTGTTTTAGTGCCACAGGAACCTACTAAAGCCTTCAAAAGAGGGGAGTGATGTAGGATGTATGGGATTTATATTTGTAGTTCTGATCTGTGGTACTAAATTATTTCAGCCTTTTTATGTGTGAAAGTTTTTATTTCTTCTTCATTTTGGAAATATGCTTACTCTGGGTATTCTGCATGAAAAAGAGTCACATGGCCAAATTGATGGGGGGACATGCGTTCTATACACATTTTTTCAATCTTTGGGTGCTTAGTAGTCTGTGAAATCCTACAGTGTGGGAAGGTTGGCATCTTAAGGCATACTTCATTTATTATCTGGTAAGCATTTTAATTAAGAACTAAGACACTGCAGTGTAAATCAGGGCTTCCCTTGTGGCTCAGATGGTAAAGAATCTGCCCTTAACACAGGAGACCAGAGTTCAAGCCCTGGATTGGGAAGATCCCCTGGAGCAGGGAATGGCTACCCACTCCAGTATTGTTGCCTGGAGAATTCCACAAACAGAGGAACCTTGAAGGGCTACCTTGACAATTTATTTGTTTTGTAACACAAGTGCCTGACGTAAGTGCACTTGTGAAGTAACACAAGCGCCT